TTGGCCTCTTTTACAATACACTACCATCCCCAAGGAAAAGGTGGACTTGATGTAACTACAGAATAGAAGCAAATCAAATGTATTACATTGTTTTAACCAAGAAGATTATTCTCTGATACAGTTCTTGTCTTTGGGAGTCCGCCTCTTAACCTAGAGTTATCCACAGATCTTATGTGGCCAGCCTGACATATTCTTCTTCCTTTTTTAATGCCAACAGATCAAAAAGTAGGCTAACCAAGTCAGCTGAGGGACAAAATCAGAAGTCTAAAAAGATCTCTTCTCATTAATCTGATTACAATATAGCATGAAATTAATAAATGCCTTTGAAAAGATGACTAAAGGACTAGATGTTTTTGTATAAAAAGAGGCTGAGAAGTTGGACTCTTTGTCCTGGAAAAGAGAAAGCTAAGGAGGACATTATGTCTGTGTAAATGACTGATGGGAGCGAATGAAGTTAGGCTCTTCTCAACAGCACCCACTATCAGGGCAGGAGGCAAAACACACAGGTAAACTATGAAACTCCATCTGAACACAGATGGAGTCAAACACTGGAAGAAATTCCCAGAATGGTTGTGTAGTCTCTGTCCTTGGAGATATTCAAATCCCAGCTAGACACAATCCTGGGCAATCTGGTCTAGCTGATCCTGCTTCAGCAGGGTCCTGGCTCCAAGATGATCTCAAGATGCCAACCTCACCTATTCAGTGTCTAAGATTCTGTGATGTAAGCAATGTAGACATGACAGAGTGACCAGGCTACAGCCCCAGCTGAGTATGTCAGATTGTGAGGGTGGTAATTGACAATTATGTCCTCATAGGAAGTGGTGTTCATCTCCAGACAGTAATAACAAAATATGTCAACTGGAAAAAAATCATCCCAAAGTACAAGTAATAAAAGGCTATGAAGCTATTTTCTTGCAACAGCCATTGCTAAAATACTTAATGCATACTTATTTCATTTTCTGCGATTGTTACTCAAACTTTAAAAATTCATGTTTGCACCTAAATACTTTAACAGTGTGCTATAAAGCAAATGCATATATTTATTGTGCTGAAGAAAGCACAAACTGCTTCTTCAGACTCAGCCCTTATATGACATAACAGAATTATTAACAAATATGCGACACTTTTATAAGAACACTACATTTTTCCTCAAAATATGAAGCAGCACCATATCATAACAAGTCATAATTGAATTATCAATGCTATCAAGAGCCCTCACAGCACTCAAATTCACTGTAGTTATTTTAGATATAGGCAAAGGGAGTATTTATATTAACAGATTAATGTTACTCCTTTTCTTGTCCCCCACCCTTGAAACACACGTACAGCAACGCAGCATACATAATAGAAGAACTGAGAAAATATCAGTTATTGTTATCCTAACTTTACAACATAAACCTGTCCTGCAAATATAGAGGACTGTTACCAGTAGGTATTTGTTGGCCTACATGAGACCTAGCAATGTTCAGAAACAATAGATAATACTCACAGTTTAAAGTCATCATTTCTCCTGAAAATATTACCCAGAAGTTCTCTTATAACAATGGAATTTTCCATATGTAGAATCAAGATTTTTAGCAAGAAGTCAATTGTGTATTCATGGCTTTTATATTACCAGTTTTTTCCCTAACAGAACACTATATATCTAGGAAACACTGAAATCTGACCCACAGAAGCTCACAATTTCAAAATGTTAAATTACTATCAGCGTCACACCACAAAATCAAACTGCTGTCCTACATTACTTCAGTTGTGGGGCCTGCTCATTTTGTTTTTCAAGCTAATAGCAACTTGGAAACTATATTAAGCCTATTCTCCTATTTAAATAGTTGGGTGTGGGGCTTCAACTTCTGAAAGCAAGTAGAATACTTAAGTTAGCTATGAAAGCCTTAAGAAATTATCAATTCAAAATTTATCACCACTAACCTTTTGGTTTTGGCAGACAGACTATGTAATAAATTCTATCCTCAAGAATAAAACAGTCAACTGCACGTACCTCATTTGCACCAGATGCTTCCCATCTCAAACACCAATCATAAGCAGGGTCATTTTAAATTATTTTTTAACTAGCACAACACCTTCAAAATGTAAAACTGTACTACATTACTTCATTCGAATTCTCCCCCATAAGCTATTGCAAATGCTAATATTTTCCCCACCACCACCACAGGTATTAGGAAGTCTCAAACACATACCACTCAGAAACATCATATTCCTTCGGGACACTCAAGTGACATTCATATTATCCAAAATGAAAACTTATCAACCTTACTCACACATTTCTATTTTATGTCTTGACTGACTGAGCACTTGTTAGCAAGTCATCAATCAGCTGTCTTGCCACTTCTATAAATCAGAACCTGAAGTCAGTTACCCTGAGGAATCACCTGGGCTAAAGATGCTAAAGAGAGCCCATTCTTCCATGCTTTTGTACTGAATTCAGACCTAAATTGCATTCATTAAGGAACCTTACGGCAAAAATCTAGAGTTCAGAAAACTGAGGAAGTCAATTAAATACCCCTGGCCCCAGCCAACATGATACTGTTAAGGGTAATACTGCTTCCCATGAGGCACCCTAAGTTACAGCATTACCCACTTCAACTCCAAGTCATGCCACAGAAAGTCATGATCAATGAAAAGCATAATTTAGCTATAATCTTGAAGAATAGCATGGAAAGGCTACAGTGAAAAATATACTGAATGTACAATTTAGCCTTGCATTGTCACCACCACAAAAAAATCCCATACATTTTACTTTTTTCTTAAAAAGTATCTCTGTGGTCTTTTCATTCTCCTTGGTTTTTCTGCCCCCCTGCATTTCTTTCAGTGGCTGTGCTCATTGTTCCCATGCTCCTCAGAAGGAGCAGTAATTCATCCACAACTCTTTAGGAAGCTGATGTTTTAATACTCTAGATGGTAATGAGGAGCTGGACAAATACTTCGCATCATGTTTACTATGAAAGAAAACAGAGATACCTATTCTAGAAATCATTTTTTGTACTTGACTCATCAGAGAATCTGTTAAAAATTTAAGGACCTGAAGTAGATATTGTAAAACACACTAACAAAATAAACAACAACAGCAGTACTCTACAGGCATTTTAAAAGAACTCAACATTAAAATGCTTAGTAAGGATGACAGTGGGTTAACTCTTACTCAGCCAATTCCTTGCCATGTAAGGACCTGAAATGCAGAGCATTAAGCAACTATTACGAAAAAGAAATTAAAAATAAAAAAAAAAAAGAACTTCAAGAAAGAAGACTGCTAATGTGAACAGAAACTAAAAATAAAAATGCGGTTAGTAGAACCTTACAAAAATACATGATTTATATGAAAAGAATTGGCATGGCTTTAGGAAAAGGAAACCCTTCTTTTCAGAACCATTTAAGATCTCTGAAAGAGTCAATAAATACAGGAGCGAGAGCACTGTAGTTGACAAAAATCAACTTTGGCTTTCCAAAAGAGTTCCCAAAAGGTTACTAGGAAACTAAGCAGCTATAGGATAAGGAAGAATCCTTATAAACAGAAATGTATCACCCAAGGTAAAAATCTCTAGCTGGTTTGCTCATACCTGGAATACTATGTGCAAGGGAGGAAAGTAGAAGCCACAGTCAAAATAAAACTTAATTCCTCCCCACTGTGGTTTGTAGGCCTGTGGTGTGTCCTTGTTAGCCAGATGTTGCTGATACATGGAATTTACATGGGTTCAAGGGGGAAATTAACTTTAAAAAAAACCCCTATATTTAGAAGGGGATATTAGATACAGAACCACATCCAGCTCAATAACTTCTTTAAGCTAAAAGTTATTGGAGAAAAAGAAGGCAGCAAAATGCAATTGTCATTCACCTGCTTGGTTTTCATCTCTTATTATACACTATCGCTTGTGACTACTTGTTCTAAGAGCGAACACTTAGAAATATGATGACTTGCACAATACATATTTTTTATTACAGTTTACACATAGGAAACTCACCAGCAATAAGCTTCTGAACTCTGACACTTGAAAGAGATTGCAACTACACTGTTAGCAAAATTACATGCCTTTCCACTTGTTTCACCAATGACCAGGAACAGAAGAATCAGTATGGGTGCTGAGCTTTTTTTCCTGGCACTTAAGCACAAGCATTTCAGTTCAGGAACCTGCACTCACTTTACTAAAGGGATGTACTAAAGTATAAAACTAGGTTGTGAGGTATTGTGAGGTATTTTGAAGTCACTGCCTGCTTCAAAAAGACACCTGAATTCCAAGCTGTATTAACCAGTGCTTGAATGGATTTCAAAATTAGCTGTAAAGTTGTTAGGTAAGGCTAGTTTCTCATTTTCTTTTGACAAAGCACCAAAGACTGCCCAGATGTACTGAGCATCATGTGCCTCGCTGCATGGCACTGAGGGGACACATCTTCACTTTCTCCTTTGCTTTTAAAAGGCAAGCATAGAGATAACATGTGTAGCACTCTCTGTGTTGAGCCTCTAGATATTCCCCACCACATTTACCGACTCCTTGGACAACCGTGTAAATTGATATTACGTTATTGCTACACAAGAGGTGTGTACATGCTTTTAGGACATGATGGCCTCAGGACAAGAGGCAACAAGCAGAAACTGAGGCACACCTAGTTCCACCTGAACAGGAGGAAGAACATCTCTACTGTGTCTGGAACAGATTGTCCAGAGAGGTTGTGGAGTCTCCGTCACTGGGGATATCCGAGATCCACCTGGATCCTTTGCCGCGTGCTTTGGGATGGCCCAGCTTGAACAGGAGGCTGGACCGGATGACCCCGCGCGGTCCCGCCCAGCCTGACCCGTGCCCTGGCTGCGCGATGCCATAAGCGCTGGAGGGCGCACAGAGCGAGCGAGACCCCGCTCACACCGTCCCGCTCTGTGCGGGTGCCCCTGCGGGCAGCTCGGCCCCTGCCGAGCCCCCGACCCGCGCCCGACGGGGCCTCAGCGCCGCCTCACGGCGCCCCGCGGCACCTCCGCGGTCCCGCGCCCGCGTCACCTGCAGCGCCCGCACACGGGCCGCCTCTCGCAGCGCTCCACCGGCAGCTCCCACAGCCCTTCGCAGCCCTCGCCCTCCCCGCCCGAGGCCGAGGCCGTGGCCGTGGCCGGGCCCGGATCCGCCCCGCTGCCGCCGCCTCTCCCCTCCATGCCGGCGTGGCGAGACCGCGAGGCTGCCGAGCGCCAGGGGGCGCCATCCGGCAGGACAGCGCGCGGCCTCCGCTCACGTGAAGAGGCGGCACCGCCCCTTCCCGTGGCACGTCCAATAGGAGCGCGCAAAGCACAGGCGGAGCCCCGCCCACTGGCGCGGTGCCAATGCGAGCCGCTCGCGCGCCGCAGCAGGGCGCGACCAGCAGGGGGTGCTGTCGGCAAGCGGCCATCGCGCGGAGCCGCTTGAGCTTTCCCGGGTGCTGCCCGGGGAGCCCCGCCCCGCCCGGGGAGCCCCGCCCCGCCCGGGGAGCCCCGCCCCGCCCGGGGAGCCCCGCCCGGGGAGCCCCGCCCCGCCCGGGGAGCCCCGCCCGCGGAGCCCCGCCCCGCCCGGGGAGCCCCGCCCCGCGCTGCCCTCACGGTGCGGGCCCCGGCGCTGCCGAGAGACACTGGCAGACAGCCCTGCTCCTGGTGCTGCTAGGATCACTCGGGTGGCAGACTGAAGTTTTGATACTGTTTCTTTTTCTTTGAATCACAGACTTCTGGTTGTTAAGTAATTATCTGAGCACTTTAATTGATATTTTTTCCAAGCACTGCAGAGTAGGAGTTCGGTGCCCTAGATCCCTTACACATGTCCTGGACTCACACAACTCCGGGAGAGTATCTGCAGCACAAGACAAAATGTAAGTTATAATGTGATCATTAAGATAGACATGTTATTAACTTATCTGTCTTAATGACCACAGTATGACTGTGGACTTAATAACATATGCTGGAGTCCACTGTACACTACAATTAACTTCAGCTCCAAAGTTGTTGCAGTTTACATTAGAAATCTACTGAAATATCGCAGCCAGTAAGTTTCCACACGAGATCCTCTCCTGAAATTAACATTTGCAGATGAGTGGGCTGGTTGTGTTATTTCCTGTTTTCTGTTCTGTATCCAAAATAAACTGTATTGTGTTTACGTATTTATAATCATCAGAGCCATTTGATGTAACTCAGGCCTCCTGCTATTTGATTAATGCACCATATTAACACAGTTTTGCTTTTAAGTTGTGTGGTTTTGTACTATTGTATTTGTAGCTCAAGGTACATATACACTAATTTTCTTGTGTAGCCATAAAAAAAAGTTTTCCTCACAAGACTGAAAAAAATCAGAGATCATTGATTCTGAAGCTGGCTATATACTTATACATGGTAAATTAAAAAAAAAAAATAAAAAGAACCACAAAAGAAATAAAAAGAACACCAAAGAAACAAACAGAAAGAAAAAAAACCCAGATGAAAAAGGAAAATACCTCTATGCAAATTATGAATTAAAAGGTTATCTATTGCTAGTATTATAGGCCTCTTAATTTAGCACAGGGAGACTAATGTTGGCAGTGGGAAATGCTGAAACTTTTTTGTTAAGCTGAAAGCCTTATCACGAGGTAAGTTGTTATAACTACAAACAGTTTGTTTAGGCCTATTGTTAGAAGGATGACAGTTGTAGTGAACATGACAGGGAATATTAATGCCTATTTTCCTAGTTCCACCTTACTGAGAAGGGTCCCCATGCAGGGCTACCAGCAGCAGCCTGGATATGCCTTGACAGCTTTCCACAAGTCTTCAATGACTTGAGTTTTATCTGCTCTGCTAAGTATAACCATTGTAAACTGCTCTGGTTAGACCACACAAAAGAAGAAAATAGATCTGCAGATAGATGCCTAAAATAAATGTAACAATAACTTGGTCTGAAGTAATTTTGTTGCCAAGGAAATGGGTGAACGTGGCAGTGAATATGGAGAAGTTCAGCAGAGGGAGGATAGTTTTGTCTGTATAAGTACATCTGAAGAACAAAGTGAGTCAGTTGAAACTGAAGGAAAATGGAAACATGAGCTCAGTTTAGGAGAACCTGACCATGATTAAAACCTAGGCTTGAGGACAGAGGGTTCCTGTTAGCAGAACATTGCTGTTCTGCACTGCCAACAACAGTAAAACGGATTAAAGCCAACTGAACCCTAGCATTTTTTATGTTTTTGGGTTTTTTTTAACAGACCTAGATGCTGCGATATCTATGTTGTTTCAAAGCATCTTGTCTGACTAAAGGCCAAAAAACTACAAATTTAACACTAAATACTTATTTTTAAAAATTGGAAGCATTATTTTTTGGCCAAAACATCTTGTTTGAATAAAGAGGGATTTAAGAGGAAAAATGACTGAATATTGAAGTCTAAGACAAAAAGTAAAATATATTTTATGTCAGATCTTGATAATCTTTTGCAGGCTAATAGGTATTTATTTTCACACTATCTTTTTAATGCATTAGTAGCTTGAGTATTCAATGTGCAGACTTGAGTGCAAACTAACATGTCCACTATCATATTAGAAACCTGAGGAATTCACAGCATCTCTTTGGACCAATATTTACAATTTGTAAATTCACAGACCTAAATGATGGGGTGACTGGGAGCTACTTGCTTGCATTTAATACATTTGATGTACTGCACTGTTCCCTTTTTGGGATAGTAAGTGGTCGTGTGTTTAGTGACTAATTGTAGTGTGGAAAGTCCATCAAATTTTGTGGAAAGTACCATTCTTCTGCATGTTCAATCTCTTTGGCATCTTTTATAAACCATTTATCTTTTATTCTACTATTAATATTTATTTTATTTTAGGGTTAGCCCTTACTGAATAAGAACAAGTTACATTTCCTGCTGCTACAAGTCACCAAAAATCCCTTCCTTGCCAAGAAGTTCGAATCTAATATACATTTATTTTAAGAGATGTGAAAAAGCTGTCAGGATTGCAGTTCTCAAAGAAGCACATGCAAATGGCAGATGTAGTTTCCAGGGAGCTTTAGCCAGTTTAATTCCAAGTCCCATGTTTCTACTGGCTGGTTTGATTCAGAATTTCAAATACCAGCATAAGTAATTTGAAATCCTGCTGGATACATTATATTTTTTCTTTTTTATTCTTTGTAAAAGCTGCATCCTTGTACAGAGTGTTCCTTCATGGCATTTCACAACTGTTGAATTTTTGTAGTGTTCTTCATGTTTCCCATCCATCCCCATCCTTGTCCATGCATTCAGGTGATTGATACAGCATTCGAGCTGGAGGGGCGCAGGAGCTGTGTTGCTGCACAGTCACTGGTGTCAGCAAGAGGCACAGGTAAGTGCAGAGGCAGCTGGGAGCTTGGAGCCATGCTGAGCTAAATGCTGCCTCAGGGCACCACAGATGAGCCTGAAGAACTGACTGGCACTGAGAAATGTGAGCCAAGGGGAAAAAGCTGGAGACAGGTGAAATGGGAGATGCTTATACAAAGGCTGCCATGAAAAAGAAGGCTTTTGTTTGTTGTGTGATTCTGCCTCACTGCCTCACAAACAGCAAGCAAGATGTTTGTACAGCACAATAGTGTCAACGAAGCACCTTCTAAGCTGACATGTGCAAACAGAAGCCCATGTGCAATATGGAAGACATTGTATTAGATAAGGGTGTTCCAGAGCAATGTTGGTAAATAACACTCAGGGTGGAAATGGAGCTCAGTGCAGAAGTGTGGGGGTGTCTGAACTCAAAAGCAGAAACTGTTGAGTTTTGGGGAAGAGCTTGCTTTTTGTCTGACCTAAGCATGTACTGACCTGATTTGTCAGCCCACTTGTTTCCCAAGACAGGCCTTTTTGAAGGAAAAAGAATGTTTTAGTGGGAAAAGATAGCTGCCCAGAATAATCCCTCCAACTTCCCACCAAGGACTTGGTGACTATTGCTGGAAGTACTGTATTTTTCCACATGCACAGAGATCCTGTGAGACTTAAGGGCAAAAATTGCCTGTGCCTGTCTCTATTCCAGAAGATTCTGTTCTATAGCAGATTTGCAACACAAAGGATAGGAGTAAAGCACCCTATTTTACTTGTTTGCCTTGGCAGCTAAGGATTACATTTCCAGGAACAAAAAATATAAAATAAACCAAAACAAACAAACAAACAAAACAGAACACACACCAAAAAAAGGGGGGAAATCAGAACAAAAGAAACAAACAATAACTAAGATTTAACTATCCAGTATTAAAAAACTGATTACATGGCTAGGCCTGTGTAACATTTATGTACAGTGCATGTTGTTACCTCCCAATTTTTTAACCTATGGGTTTCAGACATTACTCATTATGTCTAAAGGCTTTGGATTTGTCTGTCATTCATGATAGGTCACTGCTTTGTAAATACTGACAGCAAGTGACTTGAGAAATATAGAATTCATTTCAGCTATTTTTGTTACTACTGGTGGCTTGGAAATGCCATTTACATAAACTAGAGAAACAGCAGCAGCAATAGAAACATCCAGTTTATTGCTTATTCTTCCTTTGTATTTTTTTTCTGTTGACCCAAGAAATAAAATTTGTGCAATCATGTCCAAAATACTTTACAGCGGTGATTATGCCTTGATGAAAAGTCTTCTGCAGAGCTTGTTCTTTAGCACCTCTCTTCTACATATTTACCAAAAAAAGAGGTATTTTCCATAGCTTCATTTACTTCACAGAATCACAGGATTTGGGGGATAATAGTGTTTGTCCATTGAAACTTTCCCCACACCTTGCAGATACCCTGTAAGAACGTGCAGTTAGGAACTATTTTTGTGTGAGGAAATAGCTCAAAATAACATTCATCCCAGCTGTTTTATGTTATCTCCTGTACATACACTTTTATTTTTGGCATAACTACACAAATGAGTTATAGTGAAATAATAAGGGCATGACTTTGCAAGGTAACTACTGCACTTCAAAACCACTGGTTTACATGTTTTCACATACTGTTAATACCAGGAGTTGTTCTTTCTTATTCTCCCTCGAGGATAATTACCAGCCATTTTGAAAAAATAATAGTGAAGACAATGATACTATGAGTAGAAACTTATTTCTTTACTTGATCTTAAAACAGTGAAGTCTTTTAGTGAATCTGCATTGGAATTAATTTGAGTGAAGTTATATAAAGTTACTTACCCAGTAATATTTTTCTTCCAGGAATATGGGAAGTACTGGTATAAGACAAATATTAGAACAGACTGAGTTGCTTTTGAAGTCTCACCCCAGTTAGCCTAAGTGACTTATGTTAGC